TACATATATAGCCAAACAAAAGTACTGTTTACCAGTATAATGCATGTCTTGCATGTAATTGCATATTTAGTGATGTTTATGTTAATGGTTGAATGCTACTACTAAATGCCATGAGTTATATTGATATTATTTTGTTATTTGTGTTTACTTGATTATGGACTACTGTAATATATATTCTATAGCTATATCTATTCATACATTGTGTTGCTATTTGCATCGCAAATGCTCAAGCAATTTTACAGACCTACTGATGTTATATCACTTGTTTGCATTGTTTTGTCATGTTTGTTTTCTTGTGTTCTGTGGATATGCGTATATTGCAGAGATAAGCATAATACGTCCTACTCATAATTTGGACATATAATTCCTGAAGCAGGTTAAGTGTTTTGCACTGTGCTATGTCCATAGCATGTATTGCTATGAGCAGTTTTTCCCTAGGGTTCCCTAAAATCTTAGGGGGCCCAAAATTACTTAAGGGCAGATCATCTAGAGTGTTGCTGACACTGACCTTGGAAGAAGCCTTGTGGAGAGGAGAATTAGGAATCAGGAGTAATGAATAAAGGCAAGCAATGTGAAAAAGGAAGCCATCAAAAGCAGAGTGGTCCACATGACACGAAAGACAAACCATGAGGGCGTATCAGAGTGCTGGGATAATGCCGGGCTGCAATTGGCCACCAATGAGAACAGAGCCAGTGGTGAGAGCTTGCTGGAGGTTCAGGACGGATTCTGTAAGCCATTCTATCTCCTAGTAGTTACTTGTCCCCTTATTAAATTCAAATGTATAACGCAAGCTATTTACATTACTTCAATTTAGATTTTATTTGTCAATTTAAAAAAAAACGTTGCCCCGCAAAAATTCTAAGCTGCATATCATTTTATTTAGTGATCATATATTTAGATGAAAGGGAGAGCATTGTTGTTGTTGTTGTTTTTTAAATGGTCCAGATGTGGGGACAGCTCTACCTAGGGCAACATTGAAGGAACTAGATTGCACTGTTACAAGTCTGGCAAGAAAATACAAAACCCAGAAACCCCGAGGTTTGCTTGTTTTTTAACCCCTAAGCTGTTAATAACCACAGTCAAGAATTTTCTTTTCCCTGTGGGCAATTGGTTGGAAGAGAAAGTCACGGCCCCCAAAAGGGAAGAGAACTGAATTGCTTGGCAGAGCAAAGCCACCGCCCTCAACAGGAGTAAGCTGCTGGGGAAGCTCCACCCACCGGAAGAGGAAGGATGAAGTTACATGGGCATGCTCAGACAGGCTCAGGGGATGTTTGGATCAGCAGTACCACTGGGTGGATTACGTTCCCACCACCTTATCTCTTCCCTCCACTATTTGGAAACAAGTGGAATTTTTCAAGGTCCTGTTGATACACAGTGTAGCAACTGATTTAGGGACATAAATATCTTCCACTCCCATGATCAGTAATCTGATCTGAAGGCCATCCACTCTATCCAGCATTAATAATGTTATATTTTCTTACAATTTAGGAACTACTGAATCTTGTATTCTATCTTTTGCCTTGTTTAGAATGGATCCAGCATTAATAATGTTAGATTTTCTTACAATTTAGGAACTACTTAATCTTGTATTCCATTTTTTCCCTTGTTTAGGATGGATGTGGGCATGGTTCTGTCTTGGGAATTCTGGTGGGATATGCAAGTTAGAGGCAAAAGATATGAAAGTTAGGAATCTAATTTTCAAGGATAGGATGTATATGAAGGTATTCCAATGCTGGCCAACAAGAAACTTATTCTTTCTTCATCACTCTTCAGGTTTTAAATCCCCTAGTTTCCTAAAATTATCCCTTAAATTGTAGGTCCTTGACAGAAGTTTCTAGAAGTCACAGAAGTTCAGTAGAATATTGTTTAACTCACTTTATAGCTATTCATACTGAAGACCAGTTATTTGCCCAAGGCCATACACAAGGCAGTGGAAGGTTACACATTATTCTTATAAAATTCAGCAGGTAGGACATTTAATCCTTTTATAGATGTGAAGTAACAGCAATTACATTGTTTCTTCATGAACACACTCTAACTCTGACTACCCTATGATTAACAGCAGTTAATCAAGTACTTGAACCTTGAGTATATACCACCAAAATTAGGCAATTATAAAGTATAACCTGTCCATGATGACCTTATAAAGTGTGATCAGGTCTTTGGCGACTTTGACTGGTGGGTCATTGCTACTGGAGATCTTTTATAATCTAGGATCTCCAAGATTTCAAATTCTATTGCTTCGTTCACTTAAAACCAAAGGTAAAGCATGAGTATGTTGGGAATTCTAGTGAAATGCACAAACTAGAAGTTGGAGAGACAGAAGCTAGAATGTAAGTGGATTCAATTGTTGGTCTATCAGGAATAATTAGTAATGATCAGTTATTCAGGAGCCCAAGCCTCTGGGCTGGTAAATCAGAATGATAGTCAGAATGTACCTGAAATAGTACAATCACAAAACTGTCTTAACCTACACATTTTTGATTGTTTCAGGTTCTTCCTGTGTTCAATATTCCAACTGCATCCATCTTCTAAGCTCTTATTCTAACACCTTAGTTCCCTAAGATCTGACCCCTAGATTTGGTTCATTCAGACCAAACGTTAATTTTTCTATATTCTTCAGAAGTGCTTTTACTCAAACATGAACCAGTTATAGTCAGCAGAATGTGTAGTGTTGAATCAATAAAATAAGTCACTACAATGTCCAGATATAGTTATTTCCTGGTGAGGTCAGGTAGGTCATGGCATAAACATGAAGCACTGGAATGTGCCAAGTTCATTATAGAGCAAAAATGGCAGTAGAAGGTGATTAAACTAGTGATAGCAAGTCTGGAACATAGTCTTTGGTTTGTTACCCTGGCATGTGCAAGCCAAATTATAGCAATTTGTTAGGACAGATAGGTGGCGCAGTGGATAGAGCACCAGCCCTGGAGTCAGGAATATCTGAGTTCAAATCTGACCTCAGACACTTAACAGTTACTAGCTGTGTGACCCTGGGCAAGTCACTTAACCCCAACTGCCTCATCAAAAAAAAAAATATATATGTATATATATATGTATGTATATACATATCAATTTGTTGCTGTTGTTTCTAAAGTGTGACCTGCTCTAGCTGGTCCACCAGATTTGAAATCAGTTTTAAATTGTAATTGTGTAAAAGCCCTGGAAATGATTAAGAAAACCCAAATTCCCCATTTTTCCATTTCACAAATATTATAGGACTTAGCCAGGTGAGGTGAAAAGTTTACCTAAATCTCTGGAGTTTAATGAAAAATTCCAAAAGGATATCTGAATTGGGTCATAAGTACAAGAGCTCTTTTCAATTTGGATTGGAACTGAGTCTACAACACAGTTACAGACCTGATATGTGGGCAGGGTTACAAAATGCAAGGGGCAGATTATGTCTATAAATATCTAGTATTTCTAGAGAGATCTGGATGGGGATCTATCAAAGGAGCACTATTGCTTATAGGGATTGTACCATAGCAGTGCTGGCTGCAGAATTCTAAGCTAAAAGTAACCTGCCAAGTTCTCCCAAAAATATATAACTTAATCAATTATAGCCACCAGATTCTGAGCATCACCAGACATTGAGGAGAGCTCACTAGGTTTAGGATCAGCATTTCTTTGTGTTCTCCCCTTTGGACCTTCAGCTGTTTTCTCTGTGATTAGGCCAGTCAGTCACCAAGCATTTAAGTGTCTCAGGCACTAGGAAAACCAGAAAAGTCACCCACTTATCTAAGGCATTGTTTTAAATTTACCTTGGGGTTGGCTCTTTAAATTCCCTACCATTGGACTAAAGTCCCTGAATTTGCTTTAAAATCTTGAATTAGCATCTGTAGCTAGTGTAGCTGGGTAACCCAGTTTTGGGGGAATATTTGCTTGACGGACAAACGTGATTAACCACACCTAACGATAGAGGTTTAGGTGAGATCCTTTACAATAAAGCACTTCCACTGACCTCCCGTTCCTAGTCTTATGGGCCCTAGAATAAGATGATGGGCTGCATCCAACAGAATGAGAATCATCTCCCTTCTAGTTTATTTTTCTACTTCACACAGCTCAGTTGGGCCAGGGGTCTACCTACCTGCATTTCCAAATTCAGTATTAGTAGAGGAAATTCTTGTACCCTGACATAAGAAATGACATAGGGCTAAGGGTAAAAACAGGTTTCTCTCTATGAGCAGGCCTTGGAGAATTGTGGCTTTCTAATAAAGGCAAATTTGTCTGAATTGAGTTCTTTAATAAGCCTTCCCTAATTTGGTCCATTGTAGTATCTTCATTATACTCAAAGTCTTGACTCACTATCCTGAAAGTGATAGCATATTCCATCTACAATCCAACCCTCAGACATTTATGAAAATTTATTAAGTGTCAGTCTTAAGTCTCAAAGTGACTTTGTATGTTGAATTTCTACCATAAAACAATGAAGGTGCACTACCAGGTAGCTGACTGGTATCATCAGTGATACCATTTAGCAGTTCATATGAGTGAACAACCTAAATAACAGAAATCCCATCCTTGGGTGATCCATGAAGAAATCCCATAAGCTGGTTTTCAGATGTAAACTCATCAAGTCAGAAACCCAGAAATTTTATATAAGCACTCTGAAAATTCATCTAAGAAGCTTATAGGTTTGGAAGAACTGTTCCAACTGTTCCCACAAATGAGTATCTTCCTTCAGCATTATCACCTTCCCTCACAAACTGTCATTTTCTAATTATATTCAATCCACCTGTGCCTGAAGTGTGGCGATACATTTAATCCATTTCTCTGTATCTGCTGATAGTCCTAGGATTAGCAGCATGTTCCTTCCATCCCACTGAGGAGGATGAGGAAGTGAGATGGATAAAGCAAAAAAGGTTATCACAGCCCAAAAAGAATAATGACACTCCAACGAGCGAAAGTATGCAAACAAACCAAGGCTGGTATATCAACAATATAAAGAGAACAATCTATAATCAAAATCAGTAAAAAGGAAACGCATTAACATAAGGAAATGAATTAAACTATTCCAGTTGTATTAAACCCACACAAATGTACCACATATACAACAAAACTGGAGGGGTGTGGGGACAGAGAGGGAAGGAGTTGGAAGGAAAAAAGTAATTTCTGTAGGGTTCACACAACCACAATAAGCACTGTTTTTGCTTGTTTTTTTTTTCATAGCTGTTCTGTTTATGAGCTGCCTTTAATCATGCCCATCCATTCATTCCAATGGTGAAGCATGACAAAGAAAACAATTTAAGTTAACTGGTAACAAGATGGTACCTCAAACTACAGAAAAGCATCTTGCTTTCAAATTAGAATAACTAATTTGATCTCAAATGCCAGGGGTGGGAAGGGACCTATGATTTCATCAATGTCAAGATACTCGCTAGGAGAGATTTCTTCTACCAATGAAGATTGGCACCAATCAACTTCTAGTCTTAAAAAGTTACCTAAGGCACTGAGAGGCTAAGTAATTTGCCCAGTGTTACACAGCCTGCATCTGCTGGAGGCATGAGTTTAATTCAGATTTCCCTGACTTTGATGGAAAATCTTTCCATTATGCCATGCTTTCACATAAATCTCTATGCTTCTCAAAGGAAAAAAATTTACAGTGAATAAAAAGGGATACAAAAATAAGTTTCTGGATTAGTTTCTCAAAAAGCCATCAAAATCCCCTTAAGTTTCCCAAAAACCTTTTAGAAGTACCTGTGAAAATATCCCAAAAAGAAGTCCTCCTGAATTTCATGACCCTAGGGAAAGTGTTTCTTCACCTTCTGACTTACTGCCATATAAAATAAGATAGGAATAATAAAGAAACCAGAGAGACAGTAAGAAGTAGTAGACAGAGTGGCTGGCCTTGGAATCCAGAACACTTAAATTCAAGACCTGCCTCTGGAACATACTAGCTACGGGACCATGGACAAATCACTTAATCTCTCAATTTCCTAGGTACCTCTCTATAACTCCAAGTTAAAAACAAGTTGTTGATCTGCATCATCATTGTTAAATTCTACACAAGAGTTCTCTACATTAATGAAATCAAAGGTCTGAACAACAAGAAAATGTTCATATCAAATACAATTTTAGATGATACATTACTGAGTTGCCCTATTTAACAACCTATATACACTTAAGAAAACTTGATTTCATGCATCTATAGCATTTATAATTGAAGTATTTGAAATCACTTCTATAAAAAAAAAAAACCTTTGGACAACAGTCACCTTCAGAATCTTGATTCCCAACCCTACATTATAACATTGCTCTCATGTGATAATACTAAACTTAAATTTCAATTTTCCAGTAAGGGGACCTGCCACAAAGGTAAGAATAGACTATTCAGTTCCCTTGCTCCAAAAAGTTTTAAGTCCCATTGTTTTCTTTGTTTCAAAAGCTTTAGTTGCTTTAGTGATCAGATACCTATATTTTCCAGAAATCTTGGTCTTAAATAATTGTTCTGAGTAAACAGACCAGCACAATCAGATTTGCAAAATTCCATCGCTAGCTGGTAGCAGCCAATTTATATTTAAGGGAGAAATTAAAAAAGGTAAAAAAAAAAACACTTTGTCTTACAAGTACATCAATATTTCAAAGATCCATGACTCCAACAATGCAGTCTGCAATCCTTCTACACTTAGTCTTCATGAGTTTTTTGACCAAATTAATTTTTCACCTGGTAATCAACTTTCTGCTGAAGGCCTTCTTCAAACTTACCTAGGCTGGCTGTTTAATGAAAGATAACAAACCAGTGCCAAGCCCATACTTTTGAATATACCAAATAAAAACAGAGTTGATGGGTGACAAACTGAAATATTGACTGCAGGTCATTGAACTAAAGGATGAGTCTGAAAGATTTCCCTTCATTCAGTAACTTGACCATGGTTACTCTCCACTGTGAAAGCTCCAATGTGAGATGAGGGATAAACTACAATTGAAGACTTTTATTCATTATATGCATAGGATTCCTCACCAGTATAAATTACCTGATGTTATGTACTCTGGTAGAAGGGTTCCAAACATTCATTATCTTCACAGGAATTCTCTCCAATATGAACAAAATAACATTTATCAAAAGTTGAGTTGATTCTGAAGCCCTTTCATATATTCATATGTTTACATTTCTCTCTAGTATAGATTTTTCTGATATTGGGTAAGGTGTACTGGCTGAAAGTTTTCCCACACCCAATATTTTCATAGATGTTTTCTCTGTTATATTCAGCCAAACAACTATAGCAAGGTAAGGCTTAACAGCCAGGCTTGCATCAGTAAAAAAATACTGTTCCAATAAATGGAAGAGTGAGTTAGGCACCAGACCAGGATAAGCAATAATTAAGTGAAAGTTAAATAAGCAATCACAAGGTAAAACTAGGGGAACAGAGGAGTCACATCACATAGAGACAACAAAAGTTGAAGTCATGGATTCAGGTAATGTTAAATATAATTATAGGCAAGCAGGGGGAAAAGGGGGGATGGGAGGGTGGGGACAAAATGTCATCATGAGCTGCAGTGTCAAGAAAGCCAAGGAGGTCAAACCTGAAGTTTTTTAACCTCAAATTGGTATACTTTTTATGTTCTAGCATGTTATCTTCTTTTTTATGATGGGTTGGCTAATACTGGTCGTATTACTTTTTTATGCTTAAAAGCATACGAATATTAGATGCCTATACTCTAACACTCCCCAAATATCAATTGTCTGATGTGACAGATCATCTCTCATAAGTTTTTCCACATTCACTATATGTTTACGGTTCCTCTCCAGTATGGATTCTCTGATGTTGAGTAAGAGATGAACTACGGTTGAAGGTTTTACCACATTCGTTGCATTCATAGGGTTTCTCTCCACTATGAGTACTTTTATGGTGAATAAGGTGTGTCCTACAGCTGAAGGCTTTCTCACATTCATTACATTTATATGGCTTCTCTCCAGTATGAATTCTTTGATGCTGAGTAAGTTCAGTACTCCGACGGAAAGTTTTCCCACATTCATTGCATTCATATGGTTTCTCTCCAGTATGGATTCGCTGATGTTGAGTAAGGTGTGTACTCCATCTGAAGGTTTTCCCACATTCATTGCATTCATAGGGTTTCTCACCAGTATGAATCCTCTGATGTTGAGTAAGATGTGCACGCTGGCTAAAAGCTTTCTCACATTCACTACATTCATAAGGTTTCTCTCCAGTATGAATTCTTTGATGTCGATTAAGGTCTGTACTTTTTCGGAATGCTTTCCCACATTCATTACATTCATAGGGCTTCTCTCCTGTGTGAATTTTCTGATGTTCAGTAAGGTGTGTACTCCAGCTAAAGGCTTTTGAACATTCACTGCATTCATAGGGTCTCTCTCCAGTATGGATTCTCTGATGTTGAATAAGGTGTGCACGCTGGCTGAAAGCTCTCTCACATTGATTACATTCATAGGGCTTTTCTCCAGTATGAATTCTCTGATGTTGAGTAAGGTCTATAGTTCGTCTAAAAGCTTTACCACATTCATTACATTCATAGGGTCTCTCTCCAGTATGAATTCTCTGATGTTGAATAAGGTGTGCACGCTGGCTGAAAGCTTTATCACATTCATTACATTCAAAGCGTTTCTTCCCTGAACAAATTCTCTTGTGTTTAATTAGGCCAGAATTCTCTTTGAAGCTTTTTCTACATATGTCACATTTATGACAATTCTCTCCTACAGAAACTTCCTGAGAAGCAGAGGCAGAGTTCAGACTATAGCTTACTCGAAATTTGTTAGATTTAGGAGGTCTCTTCTCAGTGATGTTTTTCCTCTGGGTAATTTCCACTTGTTTCACCTGCCTTTCCTGGATTCCCTGTTGACAATTTGACTGGCTATCACGTTCCCAGGTTTTTCCTAATTTGGAAGACCAGTTACTACTCATGGTCATTCCTTCCTGGTGTGACTTCTCTTTGGAAATGCCTTCCTTTGGAGTTGAATCTTTGGCTTCAGGCCTAGTTTCCCTATCTGAAAGAAATAAAATGCAATAAGAATGGGAAAATGAAACTGATACAAGGCATATTTGGCTTTTTCCACTCCGTAAAATGTTCTTTAAAATTCTGGGGAGAGAAAGGGAAAGGAATAGCAATAAAGAGAGACAGAAGTGATTATAGGTAGGACTGATGCAATGTGAAAGTTAAACATAAAGAATCCACCAAACCAGACTGTTGATATGATGAGTGACCATCTTTAAGCACAGTGGATGTGGCTAGCAGGAAATATCAAGGGGGAAATCAAGATTAAAAGTGACAGGCTGTCATCAATTCTCAGTCCTTCATCATCTCAGTATGATGCAGTGGCAGAAACACCTACTTTGGAGTCAGACAACTCAGTAGCCACCTACGTAGCCCTAGAAAAATAATAGCATCTCTGTAAACTTAATAAATTTCCTCATCTGTAATAACTGTACTACCTACTTACAGATTTTACGTCACAGAGTTTTATAAGTTTTAACTAAGATAATCTAAAGCAGGAGTTCTTAACATGGGGTCTGTGAACTTTTAAAAAAAAAGTTCTTAATTATATTTCAATATAATGAGTTTCCTTTGCAATCCTATATATGTTATGTTATGCATTTAAAAACATTATTCTGAGAAGTCCAAAGGTTTCACCAGACTGCCCAAGGGGTCAATGACTCAAAAGTTTACAAACCTCTGATCTAAGGAAAATTCTTTTTAAAATTATCAAACACTACATAAATAACCTATTTTATACCAGAGTCTAGCACAGTACCTTACACTCAGTAAATATCTGGCCTTGGACATTTCCTAACCATGACCATGGAGCAACTCACTTAATCAGTCTTAGTTTCCTCATCTGCAAAACGAAGGTAATTTTTGAACTACCTCACTGGGTTGTGATAAGGAAAATAATCTGCAAATCGTAAAGTGCTACACAAATATAAGTTCATTATTACTAAAATCTTATTAAATGTTTGCTGAATCAAATTGTTAAAGGCTTCTAATTAGTCTTCCTGTCACCAATCACCTTCCCCGTCCAAATAAACCTATACACTACCACTACCAAAGTAATCCTTGATAAACAACAATTTCATGTTTGTAAGAACACTCTTATTACTCCAGTTTTCCTGTACCTATCCTAGCAGAAAGTGAGCATCATGGGCAAGAACTTTCTCTTTGAAAGTTTTATACCCAGCACTTACCAGAATGCCTGACATATAGCAAGCATTTAATAAATGCTCATAGACTGACTAAACACAGTCAGAGCCCATCTACTGCGGTAATTATCCTGACCTCTACAAGTATTTTCTATACAAATCCAAGGGACCAGAGTCATTTACAACTATCAAGAAGTACAAAGGAGCCAACATCCAAATCATAGTTGCCCCAGAATGAGGCTCATCTTTGCATTTTAATCAGAAGTATTTTGTTCTTGTTCTCTTATACTTCCTGGAGTAAGGACTCTCACCTACTCTAACTATAAGAGATAGTTTGGCTAACCATTAGTAACAAAAATCCTAACCTCTATTTAACTTCGTTTCCAAATACTTGATCAACTTCTGACTAAGCCGGGTTTCCTGGTCCTAGATGCCTATATAAATCTTAACTGGTGTGCTCCCCACTTGACCATCACTGCCAATTACCAACTGTCATTCCTGCTAAAAAAAATCCAAGATCAATAATTCACATTTATATAGTTGTATTTATGTAGGTTTGCAAAGCACTTTATATTCCTTTTTTCACTTAATCCTCAAAATAATCCTGCGCTATTAATAACTTCATTTCACAGATGAAGAAACTGAACCTGGTCATACAACTTGTAAATCTCAGAGTAGAATTTCAGCCCAGGTCTCTCCTGATTTCCAATTCAACATTCTGTCTACTACAGGATAATGTCATGTCTCTTTGGAAAACTTTCAATGGCTAAAAGATGATGTCCCACAGTCCTCCACAAAACAAACCCTCCAAATCCCTACTGAAATTTATATTCCATCTTCCACAAGTGCTCTACACTCTAGTCAAGTTAATACCCTAATGATCCTACCTATGGTCACTCCTGACTCCTTACTTGAAACATGCTCTTCCCTTCGTCTTCTACTATTCAAATTCTAAACATCCTTTGGTGTTCAGCTTATGTTCTACTAATTCAACAACAACAAAAAAAACTCTATGCCCAATTTGGTCCACAGATTTCCCTTTTCTTTTAATGTTATTCCTTGTGTATGATAGCTATATCTGTTCACATCTGATTACTTGTAACAGGCTGCAAGCTTCATGAGGGCAAGGGGTAATGTACCACAAGGTTTTGAACACAGACGACATTCAAAAGTATCTACTGAATTGATTCCCTTGAATGATTTATATAAAGATTCCCATATCTACATGTCCAGCCCTGGTTTCTCTCCTGAGCTCTAGTACTGCATCACCAACATTTTAAGCAAATGTCCCATGATCATCTTAAACATAACACATCCAAAATAAAATTATCTTTCCCTCAAAACCCTAAACTCTCATATCATTGGCAAGGACATTACCATCCTCTCAGTCTCACAAGCTCCAGGTCTGTGTCATCCTTGACTCCTTACTCTGACTCAGCCCACGTATCCAATGAGTTAATAAATCTTTATCCTTTCTACTTTTACAATGACTCATACAGCTATCTTCATAATTCAGCTCTTCATCACCCCTGACCTATACTACTGCAATAATCTTAATTGGTCTCCTTGCATCAAGTGTCTTCCCACTCCAATCCATTCGCACAGCTACCAAAGTGATTTTCCTAAAGTGTAGTTCTAACCATGCCACAATACCTTTTGCTTCCACCCCCAATAAAACCAGTAGTTCCCTATTACTTCCAAAATCAAATATGAAATGCATTGTCCACAACCTGGCCCTTTCCTACCTTTCCAGTCTTATTACACATCAGTCCCCTCTATACAATTTTCTGTCTAGTAATCCTGGCCTATTTGCTATTCCTCAAACATGACACTATCTCCCATCTCTGAGCCTTTGCAATGGCTGTTCTGTCTTCTAACTTCTGTCTCTTAGAATCCCTGACTTCTCAGCTCAATTGTCACCTCCTCCTGGAGGCCTTTTCCAGTCTCCCCAGCTGCTACAGCCTTTCTATCTAAGGTTGGTTTCCATCCACTCCTCATGTACTTTTACATACTTATAAAAATATACCTTACGTACATGTTTTCTCCCCTATTAGACAGGCTCCTTGAAGTCAGGAACTGTTTTTAATCTACCTTTGAATCCCTACAACACAGTACAGCGCTTGGTACAAAGAAAATGCTTAATAAATGCTTGCCAATTGATTACACCAACCATTTTGTCAAACAATCATATAATATTTTCTTGCACTGTTACTTAAATATTTTTATGTTTAAATATCCAGTATTTAAAAATTTTATGTGTATCTGTCTTGAATTTCCAACTACAGTCTTAGTTCTTAGAAGAAAATGAATGTTTTTTAAAGACTAACATACATAAAAAATTAAAGAATATAGGAGATTATAGGATATATAGTGTAAAAGATATCATATTAACATCATTTCTATGACTGGAAAAGGCAGGTGTTCAGTTATGCAGCAAGAGCAAGGGATGCCAGAGAGAAAATATGAGTGTTACAATGAAAACTATGAAATAATAAAATATCTAGGAGGCTTTCAACATAAAGAGTAGAACCATTAACTCACCTAAGTTGACCTCTCTGAAGTTTTTGATTCTGCTTACCATCCCACCCTCCTAAAAATTCTGTTCCTTTCACTCTCATGAAATTCTCTTTCCAGGTTTTCTTCCTACCTAATTATCACTCCTTTCCTCAATCATCACTGATCCCTTAATGTGGACATTCTTCATGGCTCTGTCTTATTCCCTCTTTTCTCTATATATAAACTCTCCTGAAAATTTCAACCCCACTGGGTTCAATTTACATATCTTGGTAAATGATCCTAAGCTATCTAACTCTATACTGAACTCCAGTTATGTTATCAACTGCCTACTTAACAACTCCTCCAAGATGTCCCATTGGCATCTCAAAATCAACTTGTCCAAAACAACCTCCTCCTTCAACTTTCCATGTTTGTATTGAGGAGACCACTATTATCCAAATTACTCAGATTCAATATCTCACCTGTGACTCTTTGCTCTCTCTCATTCCCTATTCTAATCAGTTGCCAAGGTTTGTCAATTCTACCTACATAGCATCTCTCCACTTATACAGCTACTACCCTAGTTCCAACCCTCATCACCTCTCACCTGAACTACTGTAATAACCTGTTAAATGGTTTCTTTGATTCCAGGTTCTCCTGACTCCAACTTAACTTTCTCATAGTTCACAAAATAATTTACCTGAGGCACAAGTATGTCCATATCACTCCTGTGCTCAAAAATATTTACTGGCTCCCCATTGTCTATGGGATAAAATAAAGACTCCTTAGCCTGGCACTTAAGGATCTCTACAATCTGGTTCCAACCTACCATTTCTGTCAGACTTAGTCAGTCAATCACCAAGCATTTATTAAGCATCCAGTATGTGCCAAGTATTGCGCTAAGCACAGGAGAAACCAACAAAATTAAAATCAGTCACTGTTCCAGTAGTTTAGCATGATTTCATAACATTCCTCTTCACAAATACTATATTCCAACCTGACTAGCCACTCTCTGAACTTGACAACCCATCTCTCACCTCTTTTCATTTTCACAAGCCATCCTTCATTCCTATAATGTACTCCCTTTTCATCTGTCTCTCAAAATCTTTCTTTCAAGGTTCATCTCAGCTGCTACTTCCTCTACAAAACCTTCCCCGATTCCCCCTAGTAGTTAGTACTCTCTCCTTCTTCAATTTTCCTGTACTTTATGTACATACATACTGAACCCTTTCCCCAAGATGGAATACAAAGATCCTTGAGAGCAGGGACTGTTTCATTTTTGTTGGTATATCCTCAGCACTGCCTATTAGCAAATGGATATGGAATTGAAATGAATCTGTGGAAGGATATGGGCAAGAATCACAAAAGTGAGAAGGCATGAATGGGTTTCAATTTGCAGGCAATGTAAGGAGTTTCCCTATCATCATGGCTGTGCCAAAGAATTAAAGTACAGGATAAAGTCATTGGGAACTTCATATTATATCATATAGACTATAACTGGTCTAGAAGTTCAGAAAACAGAGGAGTTAGACAAGGTTTCATGGAAGAGGTAGAACTTCGGTAGGCATTAAAGAATGGGAAGGATTTAGACAGGCACAGAAGGCATTTCAGGAAGAGGGCAGAACATATTCAGAGCCACGGCTGTAGAGGCATATTGCCTCTAGAGATGATAATACTTACTGGAATGAAGGTTGTTTGAAAGACAATAAAGCAAAATAAAATTTAAATGTTAAAATTGACAATAGGTTCAAAGATCCAAACTCCAAATTTTAAAGATGAGGAAACTGAGTCACATAGAGTGATTTGCTCAGGTTCATATAGCTAGTAAATGTCTGAGGAAGGATTTGAACACAGGTTTTCCTGATGCCAAATCCAGTGTCCTAGCCACTAGACCATGCTGCCTCTCCAACAGGAAGGCACTGTAAGCTTTTGAAATAGGTAACAACAGGGTAAAGACACTCTCCAACATCCATTCTGCCCTTTACTTTTCAATTCTAAAAAACTACTGCCTCAGCTGATTTTGTACTTGAGGTTCAGAGATTCCTAATCAGTCTGAGGCACAGAGATAGTGTTTTTGTTCCTGTTTTCTGTGTAATTTTTATGGGGTTGCAAATTAATAGCTACATCAATTGTGCTGGCTTGGAAGTCATTCAGGTTTGCCAGCAGAACAAAAGGGAATTGTTGTAGAGGTTAAATAAGAATTTCACTAATCTAGTTATAAAGTGATATGGACCATGCCTACAAGGTTGGTGACTGAATGGACACTAAAGGATAAATCTTAGGAAATATTTCAAAGGAAGAAAATAATAGAACTTGAAACAGACTGAACAAAAGGAACAAAAGATAGGGAGTATTCAAAATGAATCTCATTTTAAAATTGGTGTAGTGGTACCTCTAATCAGAAACACAGAATTTGAGATTGGAACTAGGATGTAAATATAGGTTCAATTTTTCACATGTTGAGTTTCAGGAAACAATAGGAATCCAAGTTAAAATGTCTTAAAAGTAATTGAAAAGATAAGCCTGAAATATAGGTAAGATAGACAAGAGAGAAATATATCTTTGAGTTATCAGCATAGAAGGAATAGTTGAAGGCATCCTATATCTCTGTAAAGAGAGATAAACAGAGGGCTAGTGATAAAGCCTTAAGGGATGCCTAAAATTAGAAGTCTGAAAAAATAAGAGAGTCAAAAGGAAAGAGACAGAGGTAAGAGAACTATAGCAGTACATGAGGAGGGACTTTCTTCTTTCCCAGATTAGCCTCACAGACATATTCTCAGATGCCACCAAAATTAGCCTAGCCTAGTACCCATTGCCCATCCCAACCTGACCAGTTAAAACCAGTTCCCTGACTTCTTCCAACCACCCAAAGAAAGAGGCAAATAAGCAAGAGCCTTCCCCCAAGGGGTCCCCATATGTCCCAGGGAGAGGATACAACATATCTCCTGAGTACCAACACCAGAGCTGCTGACCCAGAGGTAGACACAAAAACTCACAAAGGGTCAGCTGAGGAAAGGATCCAAGATATTGCAGTGGTGGGGCTCCTCCGGGTCCAAAGTTCTGCACAAGCATCTCAGCTACAGAATCTTACACAGTCTGTACTCTGCAAAATACCCTTTTCAGCATGCTGGGGAGAGGTGAGAGAGGGTGAAGGGGAGGAGCACAACAATGACATTATCAATGTCAGACCCTGCCAAAACAAGACACTGATTAAAACAGATCTAATATGCTTTGACAGAAGCTAAAGAAAGCCTAGTTCCAGCTGCATTACATAATTCCAGGACCTTTGTTCCTTCTTGACATGAAATTATAATGCCATACTACCTCTCAATTAACAGCTGCAAATTCCTAAACCTCAGAACATAGTTTGCTAGAAAGCTAAAATGTTGGTTGATTAGTGGGTATGATTTTGACTGAACAAGTACTTCCTGTTACCTGAAGACCTCCAGGCTAAAAGGTTCTAAGCCAACTGCAAAATCGTGCCCTATTGCACAAAGAAAGGAAGGTTTCAAACCAGTGTTCAACATGTCAAATAAAAGGTACATTAAGACTCAGAAAAGGTGATCATTTCTGCAAGCAGAAAATCAGTGAAGACATTTAAAATAATTATTCTGAAAAGTGTGGGGGGAAAGGGCCATGTGGAAGAGGTCAAGAAGAGAATGGAAATGGAAGCCTTTAGGGAAAGGTTGAAGAGATAGCAGTGAAAGCAATGAAAGAAAGGGAAGAACTTTCAACAGGGAAAGAAGGAAGATGACAGAAAATGAGACAAGAATCAGAAGGTCAAGAAGGCAGGAAGGGATGGGAATTATAGGAAGAGTTCAGTTTAAAGAAGATAAGCAATACCTCTTCCCACACCAGAGGAAAGTATAAAAGAAGTATAGATAAGGAGAAAGCTATTATTCTCCCCATAAGTTATCTTCAAAAATGTGAAGGGCTATTATGTGGAAGAAGGATTAGGCTTATATTTTTATATATAGTAAAACAAGATCAGAGTGGGAATCACAGGGAAGAAGATTTCAGCACAATGTAAAGAATTCTCTAGTAATTAAAATGGAATTGGCAAAGGAGAGAGATCTTTGTCCCTGGAAGTGTTCACTTGTCAGGAATATTCCAGAAGAGATACTTGCATTGGGTGGGGAATTAAAGTGCCTTCTAGGGTGACTCCCAATTCTAAGCTTCCATACTTTGAGGGAAAAATGGCACCAATCAATTCCACAGGCCTAAGAAAGGCTGTAGATAACCGAATCAACATTTCTAATACTACACCCCTTATGATTTACCTATCCTGCCTCCCATTTCCCTGGGGTATTTTTTGTTTTTATTTTCCACTTACTTGAACAAGTGCATCTTGAGGTTCCACTCTCTACCATCCATGGCTCTTTTCCTTTTTCTAACTGGGAAATCATATTTGGTTTGGAAATGTGATGCCCTGCTCAAAAAGAAAGACACAGAAATTTGATGTTCATATTGGAACAAAGAATAATCCCAGAGCTCATTTCCAGTTTTTCTTCTTAAGGATGCTAATGAATAAAAGCAGTAAAATATCACAGACACATAAAGTAGCTTCCCATTTTAATTTCCATATAATAAAGGCCTTTCATCTGTTAACCAAAAACAATGTCACAATCTGACTAAAGGTAACAGAGAACTTTTAATTTATTTAACTAAAGCCTAAATTCAGTAAGCATTTTAGAAGTTTTACATATTTTAACAATTGGAGACATAAATGAACTTTATTTACAGTTTCTAAATATTAAATCAATATCTTACCCAATGAGACCAGGTTCCTGTAGTTCTCCAGCATAACTTCCCTATATAGGTCCCTCTGACCAAGGTCCAGGTGCCTCCACTCCTCCCGGGTGAAGTTCACAGCAACATCCTTGAAAGTCAATAACTCCTGAAAAAACCAAAGACATTTCTATTCAACCATCTCAAAAAACTCTCAAGTCTCAAGGAGAACTGAGGAGATCCAGAGGGCAGAACCAGAAGCAATATGTAGAAGTTGTAAAGTGGCCAACTTGGGCTTGATGTCAGGAAAAACTTTAATAATTAGAGCTGTCCAAAAAAGGAATGGGATGCCTTATGAAGTAGAGTTCTTTTGCTTTGCTTTTTTGGTGAGGTAATCAGGGTTAAGTGACGTGCCCAGGGTCATACAGCTAGTGTCAAGTATCTGAGGCTGGATTTGAACTCAAGTCCTCCTGATTCCAAGGCTGGAGCTCTATCTACTGCAAACCTAGCTGCCCCAGAGGTAGAATTCTTCAAACAGAAACTGGATAACTACTTGTCAGATATGTTATTGTAAGGATTTCCTTCATGTGTAGGTCAATATAGAGGACTATAAGATGCCAATAAGATCATACTGATTCTCAAATTCTATGATTCTGATTATATTTTTGTTTTGGTTGTTTAACATAAGCACCAGTATATCAAGGGTTTTTCTTTTTTACATCTATCTCAATTGGTGTAGTAACTGGTATTTGGACTTTGAGTTCCTGAAATATCTGGAGACTTCATGAAACAAGAATATCTGGTATTGAGGAGCAGCTAGATGGCGCAGTCTCCAAAAGACATCAAAGAATGAGGGAGATGTCCATTACATACAAAAATATAGCAGCTCTCTTTGTGGTGGGAAAAAATTAGAAGCTAAGAAAACATACAATATTTAAGGAATGGTTAACTAAGTTGTTACTTAGTAATGGAGTACTATTGTGCTTTGTAAGAAATGAGGAAATAAGGGCAGCTAGATGGTACAGTAGATAAAGCTCTGGCCTTGGAGTCAGGGGGACCTGAGTTCAAATATGGCCTGAGACACTTGACACTTACTAGCTGTGTGACCCTGGGCAAGGCACTTAACCCCGACTGCCTCACCAAAAACAAAAAAAAAAGAAGAAATGAGGAAATACATGACTTCAAAAAGACATGGAAAAACTTACATGAACTGATGCAGAGCAAAGCAAGTAGAACCAGAATAATTTTTACTATAACATCAGTATTATGAAAATGAATATTGAGGACTTTTATAAACTGAAAAAGAATGAAATGAGCAAAACCAGGAGAACAATTTATACAATAACACTACAAAAACAAACAACTCTGAAAGCTGCAAGAAATATGATCAATAAAATGGCCATTCATGATTGCAGAGGACCAATGATGAAACATGCTACCCATTACAGAGAGGTGATGGATTTAGAATGTAGAATTAGACATATATATTTTTGTTTACAGCCCCTGGTCAATTTGTTTTGCTTGACTACGCACATTTGTTACAAGAAATTTGGCTATTTCTTGTCTTTTTTTCCCAATGAGGTGGGGGTGGGAAGAAGAAAATTAGATTTCTGTTCATTTAAAGAAAGAAGGTTGGACGGTAATACAGATGCACTCACTTTCACATGAAGTCACTTTGTTAATAGTTTTACTTAACTTTTACCTTGTTAAAAAGGGCCTCTCACAAAGCAAGAGAAATCTGTAAATGTATTTCATATAAAAACAAAATAAAGCTGAAAGTGACCAAAAATAAATGAGAAACAGTAAGAAGGCTAGTTGGGTTAGACCATAGATCACATGAAGGGGAATAACATACAACAAGACTAGAAATTAAGATGGAGAAAGGTAGGAAAGGCCTTGAAATGCCAAACAGAAAAGTCTATATTTTATTTTAGAAGTAATAGGGAGCCTGTGTTTTCTTGGTTTTAATTGTTAGGCCAAAATTAGCACAAGCAGCAGACAATCAATCCATACTTTGTTGCATCTCAGCTTCAGAGGCTGCACTGAGTGCACAATCATCTGTGAACAAAAAATCATGCACCAACTCTCCCTCCACTTTAGTCTTGGCTTGTAGCCTTTTCAAGTTAAATAATTTACCATCAGTGCCGTAGCTGACCTTGATGCCATATTCTTCCTCATTGAAACATTTGACAACACACTGAAAACATCATGCAAAGAAGCGTGGGAGTAAGCACACAGCCTTGTTTCACTCCATCGGTGACTGGGAAAGCGTGAGAGCGTCGTCCTTTATCCAGAACCCAGACAAGCATGCTGGTATGAAACTGATATACAATATTGATGAACTTCTCTGGGCAACCAAATTTTGACATAATTGTCCATAAACCCTCACAAGTGACAGTATCAAAGGCCTTGGTCAGATCAATGAACATTGTATATAGACCTCTGTTCTGCTCCTAGCATTTTTCCTGGAGCTATCAAGCAGCAAACACCATAATAACCATTCCTCAGCCCTTTCTGAAGCCACACTGGCTCTTAGGTAGATGATCATCTTCCAGGTGAAGAATCAGTCTATTAAGGAGAACTCTAGCAAGAATCTTGCCAGCAATGACTAAGGACCCACTCCCTCTGTGATTGTCACAGGGCAATCTATTTCCTTGACCTTTATAGAGATGGACAACGGAGGCATCTTTGAACTCCTGGGGGATAACCTCTTCTTGCCATATAACTCAGAAAATTTCAGTCATCTTTTGTATGAGCAATGGACCCCAACCTTGTAAATCTCAGCTGGAATAGAGTAAGTGCCAGGTGCTTTGCCTCACAAGAGAAGCCTAATGGCATTCAAAACCCCTTCATCAGTTAGAAATCTGGCTAGAGAGGAACTGACTTCAACCTGAGGTAAATGGTCAATGGCTTCAGCATTGATTGATGATGGTCTGTTGAGAACATTATGGAAGTGTTCAGCCCAGAACCATACCATTCATCATGGAACCATCAATTACAGCAAATGGAGAAGTGTTGAATACTATGGAGAAGTTCACTTATCTTGGCAATACACTTTCTAGGAACATACAAACTGACAATGAAGTTGATGCACACATTGCCAGAGCTAGCTCAGTGTTTGGGAAGCTCCAAAGCAAAGTGTAGGAGAGAAGATGTATTAGAATGGCTACCAAACTGAAGGTCTACAGAGCCGTTGTGCTGACCTGATGAATGTGAATATGCCTGTGAAACCTAAACAATATACCAGTGCCTTGACAGGAAAGTGAATCGCTTCTAACTGAATTGTCTTAAGAAGAGCCTGAAGATCACCTGGCAGGATAACGTACCAGACACAGAGGTCCTTTCTCAAACTAAACTGCCAAGCATTCATACTCTACTACAGAGATCACAATTCTGATGGGCTGGCCACATTGTTCAAATGCCAAACATACACTTGCCTAAAAGGCTATTTTATGGAGAACTCACACAAGGTAGTGCAGACATGGTGACCTGAAAAAGTGATACAAGGACACTCTCAAGGTCTCTCTTAAGAGCTATGGAATTGATTGCATGACGTGGGAGACACTAGCACAGGACCACCCAGCATGGCATGCCCTTACCAAAGAAGGTGCTGTGCTCTATGAACAAAGCAGAATTGAAGTATCTTAAAAGAAACTCAAGATGCACAAATTTAGAGAATCTACCCCCAATATTTCCAGGATATACTCCAAAATCTTAAGTTAGTATTTAAGGCTCTCCACAATTTGGCCTCATCCTACAGAATCAACCTATCTCCTACTACTCCCTAATTCATATTCAATAAACATTTATTATGCATATTAACCACTACACGCAAAAAAAATGTATTAGAGACTAGGAATATAAAGATAGAAACAACATAGACTCTGCTTACAAGACAGCCACAAAAGCTAAATCAGTCATGGGCTGAATGAAGAGAGGGCCCAGGATTAGAAAAGTGACGATCCTGCTTTAGTCTTCCTTTGTCACACCATACCTGGAACATTATGTTTAATTCAGGGTACCATATTTTAGGAAGGACTTTGATAAGTGGGAGAACATCCAGGAGGGCAGCCAAGATAATAAAGGACCTCAAAATCATTACACAGGAGAAGCAACTGAAGGAACTCAGAGTATTTAGCCTAGAAAAGAGAAGACTCAGACAGTATTTGAAAGGCTGTCATGTGGAAGAAGGATTAAACTTATTATACTTAGCTCCAGAGGGCAGAACTAGGAGTACTGCTTGGAAGGTACAGAGGCAAATCTAGGCTTGATGTCAAGAAAAACTTCTCAGGGCTAGAAAATGGAATGTGTCAAATTTATAAGAAGATGAGTCATTCCCCAGTTGATAAATGATCAAAGAATATGAATAGGCAATTTTTGGAAGATGAAACCAAAGCTATATATATATATATGTGTGTATATATATATGTATATATATATATATATATATATAGTCATATGAAAAAAATGCTTTAAATAATTATTGATTAGAGAAATGCAAATAAAAACAACTTTAAGATATCTCACACCTATCAGGTTGGCTAAAATAACAGAAGGGGAAAATCACAAATGCTGGCAAGGATGTAAAAAAATTGGGACACTAATATACTGTTGATGGAACTATGAACTGATCCAGTCATTTGGAAAGCCATCTGGAATTATGACCAAAGAGTTAGGAAACTGTGTATACCCATTGACCCAGCAATACCACTATTATGTCTGTTTCCTAAGGTGATCAGGGAAAAAGGAAAAGAACCTATATGTTCTAAAATATGTATAACAGCTCTCTTTGTGGTGGTAAAGAACTAGAAATAGAGGGGATGCCCAGCAATTGGGGAATATTGTTTTTCTAAAATCAACCTGCTCATCATTTCTTACAACAGAGTAGCATTCTATCGCAATCATATACCACAACTTATTCATCCATTCCAAAGGAAAGATTTGCATGAAATAATGAAGAGTGAAATGAGCAGAACCAAGAGATCATTGCATAGAGTTACAGCAATATTGTTCAAAGAGAAACTGTGAAGGACTAAGCTATTCTGAGTTATATGGATATTCTAATCAACTACAAAGGACCTATGAAGGAAGATGCTATCTACCTCCAGACAAAGAATTGATATATGGAAGTATGTAGTGTATGGTTTCACATATCTATCTGTGCCAAATATTGGCCCTCTCTAGTGCAGGGTTGGAAGGGAGGGAGGGAATTAGCTTGGAACTCAAAATGTAACAAAAATAAAAAATATATATTTTAAAAGAAAATGGAATGAAAGGATTTCCCTATCCTAGAGGTCTTCAAGCAGAAGCTGGCTAACCACTTTTTGGACAGGTTGTAAAGGATATTTTTTTCATTCATTTTTTTCAGTCTTTGATCTATGTTCATGTCTTTGCACATGAAGTAACAAGAATTATAATTAGTCTTTTATTACATGTGAAGTTGAAAAAAAGAGGTAAACATAAAAAGCCAAAAGTGACTGACTTAAAAAGAAAATACTATTCAGAGAAAAGGGAAGGAAGTCAGTCAATATGAGCTCAGATGGGCAGAGAAAATTTTCTGAAGGGTATAGAATTTGAGGTGATCTTCAGGATGTTTGAACTACTCAATTTGGAGAAGCTGGCACAGAAGGCATTCCAAGTAAGAACATCAAGATGCTTAGGGTCTTGGTGAATGTCATCTGTGGTGACCAGTAAGAAAACTGGGTGAACTACAATTAAGAGTTTGTGTGATATACCATTAGAAGAGAGCTCAGATGCCCTCCAACCTAACACAAACTCAACAAAACTGCAAGTTCATTTAGGGCAAACACTCTATTTCTTCCTATACCTGTTTTGTTTCAGTCATTGACTTTAGCACACACATAGCAGGCTTGCATAATTTGCTGAATATATGAGGGGATACTGGACAGGAGAAAAAGAGTTAGAGTAAAAGAAGGTACTACGTTAACCGGAAAACTCTATTACACAAAAATATTCTAGTCTCCTGGAGGAGCACAACTTGGGCTCACGTTCCTGGATAGAATTTTGCTAAGGAGATGGGAAGAAAATGTTTTTACCTTCTGGAACCTCAGAATTCCTAGGATAAGGGAAAGAAACCCTCAACTCACCTGGGCTCTGGCTCTTGACAAGCCAGGTATCAATCTTCCCAGCTCCTCTGTGGGCTTCTCTTGGAGAGAGACAAAATCTTGAACAGGGAGATCTGGCAAAGAAAAGGGAACCATGAAGAAAAAACATCCCATCCTGTAGCTTCCAAAATCTAGAAATCATCACATCCTATTTCAATGTAACCCTCACACTCATTTGAAGTAGGTCAAAGAGAACCTTAGTCACATCTATATCTAGAATCAGAGAAAGCTGATAGTATCCATGTACCCTAGCATGTTTCAGAGCATATAATCTGGGAGTAATGGCACATAGCTTGAATTCACAGCTTTATCACCATGTGCTTTGTGATATGGAATATGTAACCCAACCTCTCTATGCTTCACTGTTTCATTCAATGAAAAAAATTACTCTAATCCCTTTACCTGGCTCAGAGAATGTGTGAGGAATCAATTTGTTGAGTTCTTTTGAGAACTAGAAGTTCCTATATCAAATCAATCAAGCGATCAACAAATATCTGTTAAGCACCTAACCTGTGCCTGGCACTGTCCTACATACTGAGATCCAAAGACAAACTATTCAAACAGTCCTTGCTCTCCTGAGTTAACATTCTATCAAATGTAAATTAATTTGACTATCAGAGGAGTAATGTGGAAAGACTAAAAAACTTAAGTCATAAGATGACAGACTTATAGGTGACCTTAGAGATCATGAAGTCCAACTACATCACATTACAGTTGAGTAATTGCAACTTGTTCAAGGTCTCAAAGCTAGAAAATGGAACAGCTTAGCTTTTTGAACCCATGTCCTCTTACTCTTGATTAAGCACTCTTTCTATCGTTCTACTTCTGGTCCTAATTTTGCTGTCAGATAACTATGTAATGTTGAACAATTAATTTGACCTGAGCCTCAGGTTTCCATTATACAAACAGAGATGACAGTAAGCCTTAGGAAATAAGAGTTAAAAGAGAGTAAGGTGATTGTAATGTTTCCTATCATAGGAGTGGACAAAAGAGAATAGTCTCTGCTCCACGGATTCTACAAAACGTAAAGCTGGTGCATCTCAATGCCCCACAAAATTTTTTTTAAGGCTATAAGTTACAGATGGGCTGCCAATCCACATCTCTAGAAGAAATTTACAAAACAAAGAATTCCCTATATCCATGAAATTACAGGTCCGAAAAAAAAGTAGACATGTACATATATAATGACCATAATGGTCTTTTCCCCCCATAATTAATTAATAGCACATTTTATTATACACTTAGGACATAATCTCCTAACCCAGACTCTCCCTTGAATCACAGGATATTTAAAGGGAAAAGAAAGGTGCGGAGGATAGAGCTAGGTGGAGTACCACAAACACTGAATCAGGTACAGGTACCTACTGAAAGTTGAAACTGCCAATTCTCAAGCAAAAATTTAATTCAATTTGGGTCCAAAAGCTGCACACTGCAAACATCCATTTTACTGATTTTGTGCATCAGGTTTTTGTTTTCTAATTCCTCTATTTCTTACTAAATGCTCCTTTTTAAAAAATCATATTCTCTCAACTGGAGGAAGGGGGGAAAGTATCTTTCACTTGATCTTAGCCAAAAGGCCAAGAAGTAATTTTTTAAAAAAGGATTTTTCCACAGCTCCAGCAGAAGTAGCTCTAGAATCCGGGGACATAGGTGGCAGTGGGTTCCAAGTCGGAACCCAGAAAATAGCAGAAAGTTAGGATATACAAGTGTGTGATGTAAGAGAGAAAAACGGTGGTAATCAGTCACTAGTACTGATCCCTTCCCAGAGTCTATGCCCTCCAAGGATTCTCACATCCCTCTGTAAATTCTCACCTCTCTCCCCAAGCGCCTGGGCCAAACCCGTCATGGTCACCGCTTGCTCCCCAGCTGTTTCCAGGAAATGAAGACTCCTGGAGTCCTGGAAGAATGATCAGGCCTTACTTCAGCACAGACAGCACTGGGGGATCTGAACTTCCTACGGCCGGGGTGGCGGTCACGCGTGCTCGGGGAGAGGGGGGTGGGGTGGAGAGGTCTGGACGACGGGCGCTCAGCTCCCACCCGGGCCCAGCCCGGGGTGGAGGGAGAAGGCAGCAGAGGGGTAGGTAGAGAAGACTGCTGTCAATTACCTGGGGCTGACAGGGGCCTCGGCTCCCTGCAGGGACACACAAAGAGGCCCAGTCGCAGAAGCCTCCTAGTCTCCCCGCCACAGACACTCGCACCCGAGGCTCTTGCGTCGCCCACCCCCCCCAACCTCGTGACACAGTCTAGAATCTGTATTTATTTGTTTGCACGCCTCCTCCACCCCCCCCACACACACAGTGAGCTCTCTGAAGGCCAGGCCTGCCTTTGCCTTTCTCTGCGTCCCCAGCGCTCGGCTGAGGGCATCGCACCCCGGAGGCGCCAGCCAGATAATGGTTGTAGACAGGCAGGTGAAAAGCCCGCGCGCGCGCACGCGTGTACACACACACACACACACACACACACACACACACACGCCACACACACACCACACCACACCACACCACACACACACCCGCACACACCCGCACATACGCGCGCACACACCTCCCCACCCCACCCCGCCTCCCGCGTGTCCGGACGAGGCCCGGCACTGGACCCCGCGGCTCCGCGACCAGGGGCGGGGAGGCCCCTCCTCCCTCGTCGCGCTCTCACCCTCCCTCTGGGGCTCGGGGCTCTGGCCAGCTTGGCCGCAACAGGCGCGAGGGTCGCCGGTCCCGGGGCAGGAACAGCCGCGAGGAGCGGGAGGAAAAACAAAGGGGCGGCAAGTCCAGGCCCACCCGAGACCTCGCGTGCGCCTGCGCCGCCACCTGTCACCAGCCCGGACTGCGTTTCCTAGAGTAACCCGCAAGGCGCCGTCCAGTCCCGAAAGGGTTTGAGGATCCCCGCGGCTCCGACCCAACGCGGTTTTTGGGTGGGTTTGTGGGAAATGAAGGCGGGGCTCAGGGATACACCGCAGCTCGAAGGATTCTGGGAATTGTAGTCTGGAGGTGCCGTCTCCTTCGGCACCCTGAGCAATATCACTTTTCAAGCAGCTAAAAGTGTGTGAATCATCAAATCCTACAGTCTTTTTTCTGTCCTCATCGTCCCTGACCTCTCTGTAGTATGTGACACCACCTCCCTTATGATATCAAGTGAGTCAGTCGTAGATTTAGGACTGGCAGGGACCTCGGAGGTCATCTAGCCCAACCCACTCATTTTACAGAAAACTGAAGTTCAGGGAGGTTCCGCGATTTTCCCAAGATCCCACAAGCAGTGTCAGAGATTGGATTTGAATACAGGTCCTTACGCTCCAATCAACATTGTCTTCACTGTGTTTCCGTACTATCACCTCGTTTGACACCTTCTCCATCCTTCATACAAAATGTAACATTTTAATCTCTTGATTGACTAGTTTATGAACTAGTTCACTAAAACCCTCGGGTCTTTTCCCATATGAATTATGGTCAAGTCACTATTGTCCTATAGTTGGTTCTAAAATTGCACAAGTATAGCAATGACTAGATGCTTTTTCCAAAGAAAAATCTTAAGTGTAGAGCTCTCAAACCATTCCCAAGATTGATGGATCAGAGTCTCAAAGAGAAGTTATGTCAGACTTACTAGCTGTGTGACCCTGGGCAAGTCACTTAACCCTAACTGCCTAAGCAAAAAGAAAAAAGGTTACATCAGAGATGCAGCCTTAAGCTACTTGCAGGTGGCCTTATCATCACAGATTCACCTAATATAGGAAGAATAACACACAGAAAGGAAATACCAAACTTGTCCAGAACAGATAAGATGCCTAAAGGATAATCCCAGAAAGTTCTCCTGACCAGCCTCCCAGAGATGGCATTCTAGAGGAAATGTACAGTTAATATACCCAAGGCGGAAAAATCTCTGGCAATACTAACAACACAGTTGTGCTTTTCATAAACCTCAGTAGCTTAGCTGGGTCCAAAGTATTTTCCAAAGGCAATTAATGGCACTGAGGCTCCACAACAGTGACCAGCTTTGAAAGAAATCCATTATTAACCATGCTTAAATGCTCCCGCAATAGCACAATGATAAAAACAAAGCTCACTTGTCTCTTAAAAGAATTGATGTAGCTTAAGGTTCTAAGCCTCCCCATTCGCCACCTCTTTCCATCCCCACCCAATTTAATAGCAAACAAACAAAAACACCTAGGGATGTTCGAGGACTGCATATTGAACAATCTGACATAGCACTTGAAAAAGCTCATATAAACTTGGCTGTATTAAGATCCATAGTATCCAGAATGGAAAGTTAGTCTTTCATTGTACTCTGCCCTGGGTAGACCATATCTAGAAAACTGTCTTCAGGTGTGCAAGTCACATTTTAAGAAAGACACTGACATGTGGCAGTCACCTAAAAGAAGACAACTACAATGGTGAGAGGGTTTGAAACTGTGTCATGTGATGATCAGTTGAAAGAAATAGGCATGTTCAGCTTGAAGAAAAAATATAGTAGGAATATAACTATCTCTGAGTATGTGAAGAGCTGCCAGATGGAAGACCAAATAGCTTGGTATAGTGGTAAAAGCATTGGATTTTAAATGAAAAACCATGATTCAAACCCAGCTCTGCTTACTTTATACCTTTATATTCCTTTGCAAAGGACTGAACATCTTCAGACCTCATTTTCTTCGATAAAGCAAGATGATTGGATTAGGTAACCACTAAAGTCACCTTCACCTTGAAACAATATGATCCTATAAATCTCTAAGTATTTGAAGAATAGTTATGTGAAAGGATAACATTTCCTTATGGTCCCAGAGAGTAGTATTAGGAAAAAAGGGTAGAAGTTGCAGAGATAAAGTCATTCTGGAAAGGGCTACCTCAGGAGGAAGTGAGTTCCCCATCACAGGAGGTCAAGTGAAAGCTAAATAACTACCTGTACAGTATTTTGTAGTGGAGCTTCCTCTACAGGTGAAGGTTTTTCTAGTTGATTCCAGAAGTCTCCTCAAACTTGGCAAGTCTATGATCCTGCAGGAAAATTAAGGTTGGTATCAATAGGTAAAGGTAATAGCAGTCCTGATTATCAACCCTCATTATCTCCTTTACTCCAGTCTCTGAAAGATAGCCCTTCACTCTAAGGTCAATCATTCTGCAACTACCATTATGCCCTCCTACTTTCTCCAGAAAATTGCCCCCACAATCAACCCCTTCCTCTTTGATTTTCAGTGTCTCACCGTCTATTAATTTCTTCTTTTTTGCTTTTAAATCCTTCCCCATTCTTAAAAAAAATCCTCAACTGACTCTGCCATTCCTTTAAATTATTATTCTATTTCCTTCCTTTCACTATCAAACTGCTAGAAAAAGCTGCCTCCCCTTACTCTCCTTTTACTCATTTCCCAGCCTTTTGCAATTTGACTTCCAACTTCAATATTCAACTGTAACTACTCTCTCTGAAGGAGCCAATGATCTCATAATTGCCAGATGTAATAGCTGTTTTTTTCAGTCCTTATCCTTCTCATCTTTTTAGCATTTTATACTGTTGACCACCTTCTATTCTTGGATATTCTCTCCTCCGTGGATTTTTTGTAAGACTACTCTTTAACTTCTCTTCATTCTCTTTCCCTGGTTCTTCATCTATACCATGCTCCCTAATTGTGGGTGTACCCCCATGCCATGTCTTGGGCTGTCTTCTCTTTTCTCTTACACTCTCTCGATCACCTCATCAGCTCCCATGCTCCCATATCATCACTATGTTTTTGGCACCCAGATGTGTATACTCAGACCTAGTTTACCTCCTAAACTCCAGTTCTGCATTATCAACTGCCTGTTGGACATTTCAAACTCCCATTCAGATCTCAAACCCAAAATATGCAAAAACCAACTCATCATATTTGCTCCTAAACTTACCCGTTTTCTGACCTTTCCCATTTCTGTCAACAGTATTACCATCCTTTCAGGTTCTTAGAGTTGCAACCTCAATGTTATCCTTAGCTTCTCACTCTCTCTTCTCTAACATAGTGAGGAAGACATCCAGTAACAAATCTTTTTTTATTCATACTGCCACAAATCGTAAACCTATCCCCTGTTGATGTTGTTGTTGTTGTTGTTGTTTTTGGTTCACAAGACTACCACCCTGGTTCAGGCTCTCATCACTTCTCCCCTGGACTACTCAGCAGTGTCCAAGTTGGTTGACCTGTCTTTCCTTGAATACATTATAGACCAAGAACATCTGCTGATTCTTCAGGCCAGAAGAGGGCTCCAGGTGCAACATTTGCAAGCCACCAGCACCTGAAACTCCAGTTTAGAAAGCCAGTGACCAGACCCCTGGCCCCCAGCACAAGAAGCTTTTGACAGTGCCCCATGTACCCTAGAAGCAGAGCTCAACTTTAAAAGTCATGAAATAGGCTAAAAATGAGAGCCTGGACCATAGAAAGCTACTATAGCAACACGGAAAATCAAAACACAAACTCAGAAGAAGACAACAATGTCAAATTGCCTGCACATGAAGCCTCAAAGGGGAAGATGAATTGGTCTCAAGCCCAAAAAGCCTTCTTGGAAGAGCTCAAAAAGGATTTTAAAAATTAAATGAGAGGTAGAAGAAATATTGAGAGTTATGCAAGAGAGAGTCAACAGCTTGGAAAAGGAAGGACAAAAATTGACTGGAAAACAATTTCTTAAAAAATGCAATTGGCCAAATGGGAAAAAAAAAATCCACTGAAGAAAACAACTCCTTAAAAAGTAGAATTGATCAAAAGAAAAAGGAGGTACAAAAGCTAACTGAAGAAAATAATTCCTTAAAAATTAGAATTGGGAGGCAGCTAGGTGGAGCAGTGACTAGAGCACTGGCTCTGGAGTCAAGAGGAGCTAAGTTCAAATCTGGCCTCAGACACTTGATACTAACTATGTGACCCTAAGTGGAAGCTAATAATTCTATGAGACATTAAGAATCAGTCAAACAAACTCAAAAGAATGAAAAAATAGAAAAAATGTAAAATTCCTCATTGGGAAAACAACTGATCTGGAAAATAGATCCAGGAGAGATAATTTCAGAATTATTGGACTATCTGAAAGCCATGAGCAAAAAAAAGCCTGGACAGTATCTTTCAAGAAATTGTCAAGGAAAACTGCCCTGATATCCTAGAACCAGAAGGTAAAATTGTCATCAAAAGAATCCACCGATCACCTCCTGAAAGAGATCCCAAAATGAAAATTCCAATGAATATTGTAGTCAAATTCCAGAATTATCAGGTCAAGGAAAAAATACTTGCAAGCAGCCAGAAAGAAACAATTCAAATATCAAGGAGCCACAGTCAGGATTACACAGGACTTAGTAGGTTCTACATTAAAGCATCAGAAGGCTTCCTTGGAATGTATCCTCAGATAAAGATGCAACAAAAATTACATGTAATAAAGGGCCATGGAAAGATATGTTAAAAATTAATTGGAAACTAAATAATCTAATCCCAAAGAATGAGTGAGTCAAACAACAAATCATAGAAACAATCAATAATTTCATCAAAGGGAATGACAATAATGAGGACAGCATACCAAACTTTATGAGATGCAGTAAAAAGCAGTTCTTAGGGGAATTTTATATCTCTAAATGCTTACATGAATAAAATAGAGAAAGAGCAGATCCATGAACTAGGTATGCAACTAAAAAAGCTAGAAAAAGAATGAATTAAAAATCCCCAATTAAATACCAAATTAGAAATTCTGAAAATCAAAGGAAAGATTAATAAAACTGAAAGTAA